ACTTCTTCACTTATTTATCAGCACCTCGTCAGGGGGATTACTTTGATACAGCGACACACCATCCGCACAACCCGCTGCGCTTGATCTTATTGGATTGGATTACTCTCCGTTCATGGCCCCTACAATTGAAGATCATTGTTTCTGTTAGTACGTGTCCACGACTAGTAATATATTAGCGGTGGCTGATATGTTACCGGAATGGGGAACTTTTATGTGGACTTGTTATGTCCTCTCCCTCGACACCTTGTGCACTCTCTGCGGTTGACCCTCTGAACCAAGAAAGATACAACGGCGTTAGTACCCGGTTGAAATGACAGAGTAAGGGTGTTGTTAACTTGCTACGCTGCTAGCCTTGAATTCGCCTCTTGAAAGAATTCGCTGCTTACGTGGACGACCTGGCGGCCTTCGTACCGCCGGCGGTGCCAGTTTCTCCCTACCGATGTCTGTTTCAGAGGGGGCTAATGTGTCCATGTCTGGAACTGGCATTATAAGCAATTTGTAAGCCATCCTAGTCACCTCCGCAGTGTAGCATGCACCTGCCAGTGTATCAACCTGTATCCCTGCCTGGACCGCTACAGCAATAACATGCTTACAAGGAATGTGTAGGAGCTGGAACTCCCTGTATGTGCACGTCTTCTCCCAAAGATTGACAGCGTATGCAATGTCTCTCGAGTCTCTCACTTCGTACATACCTTCCGCTATCTTCATGACAAAATACCCAGACGATTTTTCAAAACTCTCAGCAACCATCTCGAGTGAGAACGCTTTTAGAAGTCGCAGCGGCCTTCCTGCGCAGAGCAAACCAGCAAACCAAAGTTGTACGGATTGTCTCTTGTATGGAGATAATCGGGAAATTTCTTGCCATTCTTAGAACATTGTTCAGGAACTCTGATACATTGCTGCTCATTACGTTGTACCGCTCACCCACGAAGTGGGACCGTGTCCAATGCTCTCTAGATATGCCGCAAATTTGATGTCAGCCTCCCTTATCTGATTGAAAATTCTATCGAACTCACCCAAGCGGTAAGACCTGACAGCCCGAGAGACGAGATGGGGCAGATGTGGAGCTTTGAAGAGTGTCTGGATGTTCTACTGAAGGTGAAAAATGCAAGCGCCGTGGGAGGCCATTGGATATACCTGTTAGCGAATTCAAAGACTTTAGCGAGTCTGTATACGTTATCACGCAACTTTAATATTGTCAAGATAATGCATCTACCGCATACCTTCCGGATCCCAGAGTATATCCACGTGTGACGGTCGGAAACGAAAACCAGCTGCGGGTAGTTCGGGACTATGGCTGACAGCTTTTCCAGAAACCACCCCCATGAGTCATCGTTTTTACTGTTGACTACACTGAAGGCCAGAGGAAAGAGTTGAAAATTACCGTCCTGAGCGCTGGCAGCTATAAGGCAACTGCCATACCGACCTTGGAGATGTGTGCCGTCGATAATTATTACATTACTCATGAATTGGAACCCCTCGGTGCATGCCGTTAGAGAGAAAAAAAGATATTTGAAATGCTCCACACCCCCTACACCGACCTCGGTCTCTAGCGATACTTTGGTGCCCGGATTCGCATGCAATAGTCGTTTGAAGTAAGGAGGTATTAGCACAAAACTCCCCATTGAAGATCCCATTGCCTTGTCTAGAGCGATCTCCATGGCCCTCCACGCCTTCCAGTAGCTAAAATAAAGGCTAAACTCTTGGCGCAATATTCGCCCCAGTTCAAAAGCCCGTGGTCCCCTCCCTTCACTACTATACTTGGAACTGACAAGGTCCCCGATGACCTCACACGTCGCCTGCATGTGGTAGTTACACCTCGCATTAACGTCACAAGTATGCTGGAGTACCACGCTCCTCACCTCGTACCAGCCGGTGTCGTCCATCTTCGTTGTGTACACTCGCCAAGGACATCCTTCGCCCACGCACTCCACGAGCACAATAACTGGTTTCGACTTGATGTACCGGAAATGAAATTTCCTGTTTATTGCATGTATTGTCAATTTAATCTTGCAGTCGGCCTTGCTTTTGAAGGTACGACCGCCGTAGATATCTTCGCTCTCGTAATCCACGTCTCGCAATGCCCTGTCAAGCTCATCTGCTAATAACATTAGCGGTAATTAGATTAGCACACAGTCAGAGCAGCTAACAACAAGCTCACATGGCAACTCGGTTCTTACCTTCTTATACCGGATCGTCGAAATACGGCAGTGCGTCGCAGGCATGGAGCATTGGTACAATGCGTACCTCACCCCTATCAAGCAGCCCCGCCCTGTCGCATCTGTCAACCACTTGTGCTTTCCCCCAATCCATGGCATCCCTCGATGCCCACATCTCCATCACCACACCCCAAGCTAAGTGCGATGCCTTTCCCCTTGTCCACAGCCGGAGTTGTCCAGCACCCCAATTGCATTGTAGGTGGTGCCGGAATGCGACGCCGATCTGCTTCTGTAAAATTCATTTCTGTTGATTCCATTGTATCTCCAGCAAGTCAGTAGCGCTATAAGGTTAACGCTAAAATTTACGTTCAGAGAAACAGTTATTGGTTACCTACAATATCGTACAGACGTTAACAAACCTGTTAGCAATATATATAGATTGTCACACTCCATTCCCGGGATCTCCCACTCTTCTGAGGGTTCGTAATAAGTCGAATGGCTGTCGGTTGGCGTGGAGGTAGAATCTGTGGAGCTGATCGTGAGTACTTGAACGTCGCTGGATTGCACGGCCGCAGCACCCAACACGGCAATGTGCGCACTAGCTAGGCTTAGGTGCAGCTCAACCTCCACATTTCGTGGTTTGATGTGGCGTTGATTATCGTGGTCCTTCGCAGTCGTAGAGAGCAAGCTATTGTTGGCTCCTTCCGCGTTTAAGAACTGTCACAAATCATTCAGATCTCGCGGTCGACTTCCGGGGACTGTGGGGATAGTAAATAAAACCGATAAGGGGCCTCACTGACATAACAACACTTTCGATTCATAGTACATGTACTAACCAGGCTCGCGCAGGGGGTTTTTGTACAGTTTGTAGATCTCTGCAGCACATCGGATGGGGGCAGAAGAACATACCCCGGCCAGAAGGCGTTGTTGGGGTTCTGAACCCAGGCGTGTGTTCTGAACCCAGACGTGTGCTCGAATCTGAAGGTAAGTGTGAAGGGATTATCAGCTAATTTTCTTGTTAAATTAACACTAACAGCATTGTTAGCATTTTAGTTACCTCCCCGTAAGCGTACGCCGGAGGTTCGGAATAGCTCCGCTGGGATGTTAGAAGGCCTTGGTCGACTTGCTAGTGGCCTTTTCCCCCGTCCATATACAAAAACGGTATTTATGTTCACTGGTTTTTCCGTAAATGTTACTGCTTCAAATTTTTACTTACCTCTAATAGCTCCCGTCACTCTATTTTCAGGCGGGGGGTAGCGGACAAACTGCATGGGTGGATCACCAGTGATTGTTGGGTCCATTATTCCTGCTTCTACTTATAAATTAGATATGATTGAAAGAACATATTTCAGGGATACTTCAGAACTCATAATACTCTATACCTGGCCATATAATCCCTCCGTTGCTTATTGGTCTGTAGTATCCGGTTTGCATGGCGCCGGGTAGTACGCTGATACCGGCCGCGGCGATGCATAGGAGAATTGGCTTGCCTGCACGCACCGAGATCCGTCAACACCGCCAATAGGTGGCGCTGTTGAGCGTGCGCTAACTCCATTATCGCTGACAACATTATTGTTAGCTCTCGCGTGCTTGTTAACGCTAACTCGCAGGAATACTTCAGGAAGGTCCGCTCTTATCGCCATAAACATCTGGCGCCTTCATCGTGAGAGATTCTAAAGGGCGGTGCTCGTCTCCATTCCGGGCCCAACATCCAGTGCCGCCACTGGTAAGTCAACACTATTTGCTCATGAGGTTGCAGGCGCAATTTCTCCCGCACAACCAGTTGCATTGCGTCGAAATCTGCATGCTCATTCAGAGTGACTGCATGGTTCAGAGTCGGTCGATCCGGCTCATGCTCCCACCACCCTTCATCATGCCTGATCCACTCTCCGCAGACCACTCCCACCAAGTGCGCCATTTTCCTAGAAAGGTTAGATTCATGTTTGCATGGTAACTTAAGCCACTGTAACAGCATTAGTCCACTAAATCTCCAGAATTTATATGTTTTGTTATCTTAGGGGACAGGTAGTTATTGCAGGATCAACAACCTCGCTTCACAGTTAATGTGATAAAAGCAACCGTTGAGTCAACTATCTTTTTTGGAAAGAATAAGAAAAACTGAAAGGTCCACCACTTGGTGCACTCTAAATATTCATTTGGGTTCGTGGATATTTTCGTCCAACAAGTTTATAATTTTTTATAGTTTCCTTACTTTTATCGATTTTGTTGCCTAAATAACTTTTTCCTCCAAATTTTCCTGTTTGCGATACAAGATTCGTTGACGTCATCTCGCATTTAATGCTCCCTAAAATCCAGCATTATATAAAAATATTATCATCATAATATTAGATAATATTATGTTTTCACCTAAATATCAATTATTGGCTCCAAATCTTTTGTTTTTCAATTAATTAACTTAGATCATTCCCTCATTTTCCCAATCATATCAACTAGTAACACCGTGAAATTATCCAACCATCACACTCGTCATAATAATCATCTTATCTATATCTCGCTACTCACTACTCACCTTCCCTTAATTGTGGTTAAAATGAATCGTGCCTCTATCTCCAAAGTACGTTACTCTCACATGTAAATTGCCTTCTTCCCCTTTACTCATTTTATTTTATTTTTTATTGTGTACTAGGATTGATGATGGAAGGAATCTTTCATTAATGAGAATGATGTAACCTCGAATGGTCCATAAAATTTTGTCTCCAAATTATCTCCTGATTTTCTGTAATTACCTCTCCTTAAAACCCGATGCTACCTCTAAAGCCACTGCACATCACACACTGAGAACTTCAACCAAAGTAGAGTTTCAGAGTGAGAGTTGTAACTATGGATGAACATGCAACCCCTCTTTTGTCCAAGGAGTCTTCATCATCATCATCATCATCATCATCAATGGTTGTTTCCTCGTTGAAATGGGTTTTGAAAGTTGTAATGTCTGTGATCTTCGTCGCTTGGGTTGTTTTCCTTATGATGTACCCTGGAAAACTCGGCGATGGAGTTCTAACAAAATGGAGAGAAGTCTCTTCCAAAACTCTCTTTGGCACCACAGGTTTTTACAACATTTCTTCGTTTTCTCCGGAAAAAAAAAAGTCCCAAATTGTAACTAATTTCATTTTCAACCCTTCGATTTCGCGAATTGCAGGAAGCATGTTCTTGATATTCAGTGGTCCGATTCTTGTTATCTCCGTCCTAGCTTCCCTCTATCTGATCATCTCTGGGGAAGAGAAGATTTTCACTAAGTACGTATGGTCCAGATTCATTTATTTAGTGATTACTGTTTTGTACAGTTTATTTTTATCAATAGAGTATATTATAATATAAACAGAAACAAATTTTTTTTTTTTTTTTGGTCAACAACCAATTGTTATAATATCTGAATACTAAACAATACCAAAGGACATAACGATTTTTCGGAAAAATTCTTGAGAAATCAAAGGGAAATGTGTTTGAGAATAGCTGAATGTTAATTGAATTGACTGTAAAAGCTGAATATTTTCACTAAGTCCAGATTCATTAATTTATTTAGTACTGTTTATCCTAAGATAAACCCAATTAAATTATTATTATCTCTAAATATTAGACAATACCGAAGAACATAACGACTTCTTGGAAGATTTCTAAAGAGATCAAAGGAAAATTTGTTTGAGAAAAGTGAACGATAATTGCTTTGAAATTTACCATAATAATACACAGTAATATGCCGTAATCTCTATATTTGTAAATTGGGAACAGAAGAAGTGTCTGAATATATAAATATGCAGTAATCTCTATATTTTATCAATTTTTTTTGGTTTCTATCAGTTTTTATTCAATTAATGTTTATTTTGGTGGTTTTTGAAGGAAGAAGATACCCAAATTCCCAAGGTTTAGGCTATGGACATTTCCTATTCTTGTGGATGGACCATTTGGAGTTGTTTCTGCAGCTGAGTTTCTTGGAATTATGATATTCTCTGTCTTCTTCCTCTGGGCTATCTATGCTTTTACCATGAGGGATCTTGACCTTCTTGAATTCTTTCATGTGCTTCCCAAAGACAGAAGGTTCTTGAAACTCATTTATTTCTTTCCTTCTCGTATATTTGTTTCTTTCTCTCATTCAAATTATTGTGTGTGAACAGCATTATTCTGTTGGAGGTAACAGCGCTGCGTTTTGGAATGATTGGACTATTGTGTATGGTGTTTTTGTTTCTTCCAATCTCGAGAGGCTCCATTCTCCTCCGTCTTATAGATATCCCTTTCGAGCATGCTACAAGATACCATGTTTGGCTTGGTCATATCACCATGGCTTTCTTCTCATTACATGGCCTCTTTTATGTTGTTGGATGGACGATGCAAGGTCAATTTATAAAGCTTGTAAGCTTCCTGAAACATTAATTCTTCCTTCTTTATTTTCACATATGTAACAGACATAGACTAATCTACTTATTGTCATTTGATTTTGATATGGAAGCCATAAACCTATTATGAGTATATTCTCACATCGATAAGTATGATATGTATAAGGGATCTAACCTCATGTTCAATAAACATGGAACAATAATCACCTCGAGAATTTGCTAAATCCATATTTTCTTTTGTCGTAATTTAAAGTTGAAGATCTTCAACTACTTACTCTCTCTGTCTCTCAGATATTTGAGTGGAAAGCCAATGGAATCGCTGTGTTACCTGGAGTTATCAGTCTAGTAGCTGGTTTACTGATGTGGGTCACGTCGCTTCACTACATGAGAAAGCATTACTTTGAGCTCTTCTTCTACACCCATCAACTATACGTTGTCTTTGTTGTCTTCTTGGCACTTCACGTTGGTGACTACATATTCAGCATAGTTGCTGGAGGAATATTCCTTTTCATTCTTGACCGTTTCTTGAGGTTTTGCCAATCAAGAAGGACTGTAGATGTAATCTCTGCAAAGAGTTTACCGTGTGGAACTCTCGAACTCGTCCTTTCGAAACCACCGAGTAACAATTTTGTTTTAATCTCTACAGTGTTAAGAGTCCGTTACCTCTAATCTAAAGCATCTCATGAGTTTTTTGTTTGTCCAATTCCAGATATGAGATATAATGCACTGAGTTTTGTCTTTCTCCAAGTGAGAGAACTATCATGGCTTCAATGGCATCCTTTCAGTGTTTCATCAAGTCCTCTAGATGGGAACCATCATGTTGCAGTTCTCATAAAGGTTCTTGGTGAATGGACTGCAAAGCTCAGGGACCAGTTGTCAAAGCTATACGAGGCAGAGAATCAAGATCAGCTTCTTTCTCCTCAGTCATTTCCCAAAATCACAACTTGTGTGGAGGGTCCTTATGGCCATGAATCTCCATACCATTTGGGGTAATGCGTTTTTATGCATCTACCATTTGAATTGTTTCAATTCATTACGCTTCTAAGCTTGACTCAGAAAATGTTTGTTTTGGATTTGCAGGTACGAGAACCTGGTCTTAGTAGCAGGAGGAATCGGGATATCGCCTTTTTTCGCCATCTTAAGTGATATCTTACACAGTAAAAGAGATGGGAAAGCTTGTTTACCGAAGAAGGTTTTAGTTATATGGGCAATAAAAAACTCAGACGAGCTCTCTCTGCTCTCAGCGATTGATATACCTTCCAGTTGTCCTTCCTTCTCTCACAAACTAAACCTTGAGATTAACATCTATGTCACACGACAATCTGAGCCTCTCTTGGTACGTCTTACATATGACTTATGGTATGAGAATAGTAAACAGACACAAATGTTAAGTTTTCTAATAACAATAAGGAAATATGTCAATTCGATTTCGTAATCCCGAGATTACCTAATATTTGGCTCTTCTCCAATAATGCAGCAGCCTTAGTTTGTTGAATTCTGTTCTGTTTCATTGTCATACAGGAAGATGGAGTGGTTCACAAGATGGTGAATCCTTCTGTGAAGCTACGGACTAACGGGTGTCCCATGTCGGTTTTAGTTGGTACAGGGGATAATATATGGTCGGGACTCTATCTAGTTGCATCCACCATTGGGTTTATTTCAATGATCACATTGTTGGACATCTTTTACATAAACAAATTCAAAATAACGGCGTGGTGGTACAAGGGACTTTTGTTTGTGGTTTGTATGGTTGCAAGTGTGTTGATTTGTGGTGGTTCTGTGGTTGTTTTCTGGAATTTTTGGGGTAAAAAAACCGGTAAAGTAGAAGCAAATGGCCACAATTATTTGAACTTGAACGGAGAAGAACCTAATGCTCCATCTGCAGAACTTAAAGGCCTTGACTCTGAAGAAGATATTCAGAATTTCATCACTACTCGTTATGGCACGAGACCAGACTTTAAAGGTACGATATAACTTTAAGATATAGTTTGCGTTGTTACCCATTCTTGTGTTTATAAAATTTAGAAACTGAATGAGAACAAAGTATCAGTCGGTTTAGTTTGGATTCACGATACAGTTTCTGGTTTAGATTAGGGTTCTGTTTTTCAAACATACATTTGAAAAAGAAAAAAAATCAAGGGGGGTTACTGGGAGAGAGATTATGTAGATTTTGAGAATTTTGAAATTCTATTATTATTAGTTTATTGATTTTTAAAATTTTACATAGAATCCACTGTTGTTAGTTTAAATATTTTAAAATTCCATCCAAAATCATTTGTTATTCAAACAGTTTAGCTTTTAAAGATTTTATGATTCATTAAAATCGTGTCTTATAGGGATATGAATTTTAAACAATTTAACTCATTGAACAAGATTTTCGAAGAATTTTAAAATATTACCTATATAACTTAGATTCTCAAAATTATTATATTAAAATATTTTCATCAATTTTCTAAATAAACAAACTTTTTCCAAATTTAACAAATCTTTTTAACAAATTTAAGAAATCTCTTAAATCTCGGTTTGGTTCGATTTAAACTATGGTTCTTTAGATACCACAAAATTAAAACCAAATCAGTATATTTTCTCTCCAGATCGGTTCTTAAAATATCATACGAATCGGCTTAAACAAACTATTTGAAAGATCTTCAGAGAAATTCAAGTTTGCTCGCTCTCCTTTTTAGCTTGGTATGATTTTGATTATGTTTTGTTTGGATATAGAAAAACAAAACCAATTAATTTTTTCTCTGGAATTGTTCTCGAATCGGTTTCAGTTAAATTTAGTGAAACCGGACTATCTTTAGTGCAAACCATATTAATGAACTTTTTTGTTTGTTGGCCTTTGAACGGTTTTGTAATGCAATTTTCTGTTTGCAGAGATATTTGAGTCGTTGAATGGGAAATGGGGTAGTGTGGATGTGGGAGTTATTGTATGCGGACCCGCGAGCCTTCAGTCGACCGTTGCTAAAGAAATTCGGTCACATAGCATCTGGCGATCTGCAAATCATCCCCTTTTCCACTTCAATAGCCACAGTTTCGATCTGTAACTTCAATGCCAAATAAAGTAATGGAATTATATATAAGGTAATTCTAAGGAAAATTATACAAATATTATAGGTTATAACTTATAGTCTGTATGTATTAAGGAAGCAGCTATGGTGGATATGTGTATGTTTGTCTTTAAATTTTCATGTACAAGTAATCAAATGTATGTTATGGTTTTACTACGTTCTAATTTTCTATACTTTTTTTTGGTTGAAGTCGAGTGACCAAGGTCTCTCAAGTATTATTCAATGAAAAATCAAATTACATCCGAAGAACAGAGCGTATTCTTGTTTCTCCAACAACATCAGCTAAAACAACATGAGCCACACGGTGGTGCTTCTAAATAAAGAAAACCCAAAGATAAGGAAAATGCATAGTTTACCAAACTATATGCTAGATAATTTGCCTCCCTATAAATGTGATTGATTCGGACTATCCAATTCCTTGAGATGAAGCCATAGCACATATGTACTAGGAAAGACAGTGGATGTCCATCATTTATCCCTGTCGTAAAAAAATCAGCAATCATTTCCGAGTTTACCTCAATCTCTAAGCGAGTGATACGGTTTTTCCAAGCAATATATAACCCGTAATATACTCCCCAAAGTTCAGCTAGAGGGACATAACAGATACCTATATTCAGTGCAAAGCCACCACACCAATCACATCTTTCATCTCGTAACACTCCCCTAGCTGTTGCGAAGCCCGTGTTTCCGCAAACTGCACCGTCTGTATTTAGCTTCACCCATCCGTTTGATGGTGGCTTCCATGATATCCCAATCTGTATCCTTTGCTCATTGTTTGAGTTTTCTCTAATCTTTGCGTGAGCTAAGGACACCTCGCTACCCATATCCTTCAGAAAACGTACTCTATCGCGGCACTTCCTTGTTGAGCCAAAGATATTCTCGCAACGCCATTTTCATCCCCACCATACACCCGTTGCAAACACCGTAGCCCAGTTACTGCTTCCTGACACTTTTGAGTCTCCGAGGTTCCTGTGAATCCATTCCAACAATGTCATAGAAAAAAAGCATTGCTGTTTTCTCGAGGGGACTATGCGCTGCCATATTCCTGCTATTGCAGGACAATCACGAGGCACATGTAGTATAGTTTCCTCTCTCCCTCTACAAACTTGGCATACTCCCATATCACTTAGATGACGGCGTTGGCGCTCGACATTTGTCATGAGTACTTGATGCACCACGAGTAATAAAAACACCCTTACTCTCTCCGGTGCTATTACTTGCCAGATCATGGTATACAAAGTCTCCATATTCTGTGTCGGAGAATGGTTCTTTGTCAACAGGGTATAAGCTGACTTTGAAGTTCTTGTTCTGGTTCTCACCCCATGATCTTCGATCATTAGCTCCTGTTATATCATCTAGCACCACTGCCCTCAAGTGTAGCTGTGTATCAGTGCTCAAGTAGTTTTCTATCTGATATATAAGCCATCCCGTCCCATTTCTCTAGAGATCCCGGATCCGTAAATTCATTAGCTGCTCTGGCACTTCTTCCTCTGCTATCTCCAGTAACGGGACATTCAACAACCACCTGTTTTTCCAGAAGTAAACTCGACGACCATCCCCCAATATCCAAGTCATCCCTAATAGTACCACATCTCTTATCCCTGTAAGTATGCTCAGCCAAGTACTTGAAGCACTTCCCTTCACAACGGTCTAGATCTTCTCTTGTCCCTCCACTGCTTTGTACTTATGACATAACACTTGAGCCCATAAGGATGACTGATCTTGCATAAGTCGCCACCCCAACTTTGCAATAAGGGCTTTATTCATCCCCACAGCTGTACGAATCCCCAAACCTCCTTCTCGTTTAGGTACACAGACCCATTTCCAAGCTAGCAGGTGCGGCTTTCTCACACCATCCGTACTTCCCAATAGGAAGGCTCTTGAAATTTTGTCTAGCTTCGACAGTGTTGACTTCGGCAACAGAATTGTACTCATTGTGTGCACAGGGATCGAAGATAACACTGATTTTGTAAGAGTCAATCTCCCAGCTAAGCTCAAAAACCGATTGTTCCATCCTGCAAGCCGTGACGAGACTTTCTCGACAACATCCCCAAACGTATCCCTGTTAATCCTCCTCTGTAGTATTGGCATACCCAGATACTTTCCAAGCTCACGTGTAGCTTTGATACCACTCTCATGACTAATCAAATTACTCAAGTCTCGAGTAATATTACTGGAGAAGAATATTTTCGACTTCTCCAAGCTAACCTTCTGCCCCGGAGCTGTGCAGAACCTTTCCAGAATACTCCGTATGACCCGAATTTGCGAGACAGATGCTTCTGCAATTAAGATTAACTCATCTGCAAAGCAAATGTGAGAAAGCTTTGGTCCACCCCGAGAGACACTTATTGGTTTCCATTCCTTCTGCGCCACTGAGAACTTAATCAGGTGATAGAGCCTTTCTAGAAACAGGAAAAATAAATACGGAGACAATGGATCTCCCTGCCTAAGACCCCGTTCCATAATAAGCTCATTGAGGGTCCCCCCACACATGTCAGTATCCATCCTATCCAAGCTTCCGGGAGTCCAGTTGCTCGCAACGTATCCTCTAGGAAGTCCCACCTAATTCAGTCATATGCCTTCTCAAGATCTAGTTTCAGGAGCATCCAACCCTTTCTCCCTTTCTTCCTACGCATTGAATGAACAACCTCCTGAACAATCACTATGTTGTCCGAGCTAAGCCTGCCCGGGATGAAACTTGATTGTACAGGACCCACAAGTTTAGGTATCACCTTCTTCAAGCGAATCACCAGCGACTTCGTAATCACTTTGAAGAGCACATTACAAAGACTGATAGGTCGAAACTGAGTAATGCTTTCTGGCATTAAGACCTTCGCTATCAAAACCACCAGTGCATCATTTGTTCCACTCGGAAGGCATCCAGTTGAGAAGAACTCCAGTACGAAACGGACTACCGACTCCCCCACGACATCCCAACAGTTCTAATAAAACACCGGTTGATACCCATCAGGCCCCGGTGCTTTAAACTTGCCCATACTCCTTATAGATGTCTCTACTTCTGATGCTGTGAACGACTTGTTTGAGTCACTGACTTCTTCTCTAGTCAGTTTTGTAAATCCTCCCTGTGGTAATGTGTCGACCACTTGCTCAACATCATCCATCGAGTATAGTCGTGAATAATAGTCTAGAGCCAACCTCTCCAGTTCTTGTGGCTCCGAGATCCATCTCCCATCATCCCCTTTCAACATCTCGATCCTATTCCTCCTTCTTCTGACCATTGTTAGAGTATGAAAACACTTCGTGTTTCTATCCCCTAGCGCCACCAATTTCTCACGGGACTTCTGAAACCAAAGTATCTCTTCTTGTTCCAGCACCGATTCAAAGTCTCTCAGCAGAGATGCCTCCTTATTTAGCAAATCATCAGTCTGACTTACCTCTAGTATTTCTTAGATCTCCTTAATCTCTTTCACCAACTTGTCTTTACGTTGCTGTACACCTCCACACACTTTTTTATTCCATCGCCTTAAAGTTCCCCTTAGCAACCACAAAACTTCTGGTGTCGTGAGGCCACCATTCTAGGATGTGGATAACATCTCTTTGAATCCCGGATGCTTCAACCACGCAGCTTCGAAACGGAAAGGTCTCCTCCTCAGGTCTCCTCTCACCACTGGCTCAAGCTGTAAATATAGAGGGGCATGATCTGACGATAGAAAGGGCAAGTGAGTGACCGACGCCTCCTGCCACCTCAACCGCACATGTGGAGAGCATAAAATCCAATCTAGCTGCTTAGCTACATAGTTTCTCTCCATTCTTCCTCTCTTCCAAGTAAACATATTCCCTCGGAATCCTATGTCTATGAGAGAAAGCTCATTAATCCAGTCTCCAAAAGCTAAAGAGTCCCCGGAGAGGCTACCGTTCCCCCCTGTTCTTTCATCAATTCTCAAAATTGTATTAAAGTCACCACCCTCCACCAACGGTTCGTCGATTCCATGAATGATGTTTTGCAGCTGATTCCACAGTCCACTCCTCCTACTCACTGACGGAGCTGTATAGACTACAATCAGGTGAATCGTCTCCACCCCACTCCCCACCGTGGTGTAAATAAACTGATCAGACGATGTGACGATATTCAGGTCTCCAACCTTTGAATGCCAGAGTATCCACAAACCCCCGCTCTGTCCCATAGCATCGACTCTAAACGAATGATCAAATCCTAACCCTTGGCAGATCCGCATTGCTCTATCTCCACCCGCATGTGTTTCAAAGACGTCAAGCACATCTATTCTGTATTTCTTCAAGATATACTGTATCGATCTCCGGAATAGGTTTATTAGCCCCCCGGCAGTTCCACAATAGACAATTTATTTTATATCCTTTCACCAAACGACCAAGAACAACCGGGGCGACCTGCTACGCTTTGTCGCGGTCATCATCTCCCTTCATCGGAGTCAAAAACACCTCTGTTTCTTCCCGCATACACCCTATCTCCGGCACAAAAGACGAGCTTCCCCCCACCTCCTCCTGAATCTGCATTGCTTCCTCAATCCCCAAACTTCCCTCTGGTTCATTTCGAAACACTCCTCCTGGACGACCTTCATACACCTTCTCCACCCTTAGTCGTTTTCCAGAGTCCGATAGCTCGAGCTCTCCCCTTGTTGGGCCAAAGATCAACCCCCTCATGGGCCGGCTTGTCTTTTGCTTCTGCTTAGTTTTTTGTTTTGTTATGCCCATGGGCTTTTGTTTACCCACACTCTTCTCCAGTGGCCCACTGATAAACTCCCGCCCTTCATCTCTTCCACCACCCACAATTTCTTTATCTGTTCCTTGCGCATCACTCCTCGATATACACCGTATATTCTCAGGATTCTCATTATCCTTATTCGCTCCCCTGCTTATCCCAGTTTCTCTCCCCTCTGAGATACTCGCTATCTCATCGAGATTTCCAAATCTGTTCGAAATATCGATATTCGCGGATCACACCTTTCTCGGGATTGCCCTGAGATTCCTCGCTGGCT